TGAAGTTCGTTCACCTCTCCTGAGTAAAGCAGTGCTTTTCTGGAATAAGGAAGACAAAATCCAATCTTAAATAATATCCAGTCAATTCATAAGGAAATTGCTACTGTTTTTAGAGGCAAGGAGATTAGAGAGGTCTTTTCTCCTGCATCACTGAAAGACAGTGAAGGGGGGATGATCCATGATTTAGCATTAAGCAGGAAACTTTCTCTTCATGGCAACAAGAGTTAATTTTTGGTGTTGATGCTGATCTGAAATAAGTCAGTTTTACTCCTAGCTGTCTCTGGAGAGGTTCTGTTTCCTTTGCTGCCAGCTTCTGAGAAAAGAAGGAAACAACAGTAGTTACCTTTGAAAGGTGCTCTCTGTCACACTAATGTAAATCACTGTAACTTAGTTTTACACAGTGGGGCACTACCATTTACACTAACATAGAGCATCGAAAGAGTAGAGTCAGACCCATAAGGTTTCCTATATTCATCTCACTCCCATATTTGCTGGAAACATTCGGGCACATTTAAAGGAGAAAGGATTCGCAGGAAAATGTACTTGCCTTTTCAACAGTTCCTTTTGCCTTCTGTCTTTAGTGCCACCCGAGCAGAGGAGTCCGCTAGAGCTGAGGGAATTGACCCCAACAAGAATCCTAGAGTAAATATTCTGAAAGAGTTATTTAAAATGTGCTGGTTAGGCAACCAACATGCTCACTGGGATATTCACGGAGAGCAAACACAGCATCATCATTATTATTATTCAAGTAACTTTCTCACAGCCTTTGCCCAACTTTATACCACAGTGTTGCAGCTGCTTGCATACACGTGATCCCCTTGAAGTCAGCAGAGCTGCAGAAAGAGATCCTGTGCCTTTATTTTTGCCATACAGAGGCTCCATCACATTCTTGATGGGACGTCTCCTCTCCACAGCTCACAATTTCCCGTCTTGGTTTGAGCCTGATCTTGTACCACTAAAGTCAGTGGGAGCTTTGCTTTGCAATTCAATTTTAATGACAGTAGCGAGAACTGTATCCTTCCTTCAGTTACTCCTACTGCTGAGAATTTTTCTCTGGCATCATACAACAATCTAACATTTAAACAGATCTGGAATTTCCCTTTTGTCAAAAGTTTTCAGATTCTGAGCCAAGTTTTCTGACCCAGGTAACATCGGGGAGGGCAGCTGGTGGACAGAAAGCTTGTACCCAGCTCTGTATTTTTGCACCTCTTCCATCTTTAAGGTGCTTTATTGTAGTAGCCCCTTTATGGAGGGGTCATTTTTAAGGCTAAAAGAAGAGATGGGCAAAGAAGTTGCCATTGATCAGCGAACTGATTTATAATAGTACTTGCTGCTATCATTGGAGACCAACTTCTGTCCCCTAACAGGATTACCAGCAGAATTTTTACACTTGTCCAGTGTCTCAGATGAGCTTCAGTCTGAGCTTTGCTAACAATTCTGCATCTCCTAAATGTTCTGCTAGTACTGCCATGTAGGTGTGTACATCTATATTACAGGAAGGCCACAACACCTTATGGCTGGAGGGGCTTGGGGCCAAGTTTGAAAACCCCATAGCTTCTTAGCATTCCTGGTTTCCTCTGCAGAGGTGGTTTTTTTCTGGATGTGGTACATTTGTTTCCCCTCTGTGCAGCAGGCTACGTACTTGTCTGTTGTTTTTCTGAAGCACTCAGGTTCTTGGTACATAGACTATTCTTCCAGTGAAGATTTGTGTTGATTTACAACAAAATACACAGTAGCTTCTTAGCTTGTTTAAGGTAACAGTGCATCTGCTGTGCATAGTTCAGTATAGATGGATGTTTGCTACAAGAATGACACAGAATTGAAATGCTGTCAGAGCTCTCTGTCTGCGGTTGTCTGATTCTGTCTTTGTGTTTCCTTTGGATAGTTTGTGATTTATGCTTGTTTGGTGCAGTGAATATTAATATTACACAAACTTATTACGGTGCTGCTATGGCCATAGATGGCAAATGAATTGATACAGTGTAGGTAATTTTTGTTCACTGTTTGGCAAATTAAATTTTACAGGGAGATTGCCAGGTAATTTGGTGAAGTAAAACATGCAGACTACATGATCTTCATGACATTTCCAGAGATCAGAAGCGTGAAAGATACCGTGTTTCCCATCTTAGTTGTTCTGACTGTAGTTTTAGTGAAGAAAGAGTCAGTTATGTGACGGCAGAGTATTGTGCTCCTCCTCTGGGCGTGTTGTACTGACAGCTTTGGTTGAGTGTTCCAGCATCGCGGCTCTACTGGGGACAAAAGTTTGCAGGAAGAAAGCAGGGAGATTGTGAGCCTCCTCACACTTAGGCTTGGAAGTCAGGGAATTAAAGAGGAGGAACAGCATTTACTTTCTAAGGAAAGCTCTGAAGTTTCTCTAGGATGATCTCCATCCTAAATCCTTGCAGCTTGTTGCCTGGGAGAGGCACCACTGGATGAGGTCTGCATAAAACACTGCCTGCCTTCTCCCTCCTGTGTGAAGAAAAAAGCTATTTGGATATGAATTAATAGTACAGAGCTGCAGCCCGTAGAAAGACAACTGGCAAGAGGGAAACCTGGGGAGTTTCCAGCTCCCTGGGAAGTGTCATATCTTTCTTTCTCCAGAGATTACTGAGTTTTACTGAAGGTAAATACTGAATATTTTTAGATATACTGAAACTTCAGCATTTCCATCACACCCACACTGGCTTTGCACTAGCATGGCTTTGGGACCTGTATTGCCAGGAGCAGAAGCCTGCACACACTCTAACTTGTAATAGTGCCCTCTGTTATGAAATGCGGCTTTTAAATAAAAATTAGCATCCTAAGCTAAATTGAATTCTTTCATTGTATCTGAAACTCTTCAGTTGCAATTTCAGCTCTTCGGCTTTTTCCAGCTTTTATTTTCTGTTGTCTAGAGATATTCTACAAATATGGAGTTTTAGAAGCTCTGTGCTTCTGAGAGATAAGCTGAATCCTCGGCAGTGTTACCGTGAGCACAGGACCCTAGCTAGTGCTCGAGTGCCCTACATTCACAGCCATTAGATGATTCATTCAGGTATTTGTAACAAGTACTGTCCTGTGTGCACAGAGATAATGCTAATACAGAAAGCACTCTGTGTACCTCATGATGCTTTTTATTCTAAATCCTTGGCTAATTCCTGCTGAAAACCATCTATACTGTTTATTACTTGCTGATACTGTCCCTGTAATTTTATTTTCCATATGCTATATATCATGGAAGCACCTGCCAACCCTGCAATTAAATATCAAGCTATCTTTCTCGGAGATGTCTAATTCATATGTCCAGGAAGACTATTCTGCCTGGCTAAAATAGACTCTGGTACACCAAAAGCCAGTTTTCAGTTCCCTGAGTAGTGCCTGTTATACCATTGCAGCAGTCCTGGTGAGGCATGAGGTCTGGTAGTGTTTTATGGCTGAACATCTGTATATGTCTGCGTATAAAAAGATTATTCCAGAGAGAAACCAGGCAAGAAGTTATCTTCATGATTAATTTGTTCTGGTTTCTAAATTTGAAAGGTAGCCATTTTCAAATCACAAGATTACAAAGGAGATGGTTGTTAGTGATTTTCAGATGTGTTTCACATCAGTATGACATATGGCATCTTTCCTTCCAAAGCTTATCATGGACAATAGGGACTATTCACCCAGTGGGATCACTACCAGAATTAAGTGACTTTTAT